AACGATAATTCAAAATTACCAGAGCATGATACAAATGATAATTCGGTATATGATATTGAGTTGCCTCAATTCGATACTATTGCTGAGATGGAAGAAATTATAATTCACGGCCCGGATACTAACCAGATGAACTTAGACCTGAAAAATAGTTGGACCAAATGGTTAAGACTTGTTCATGAAATAAATGAAGAAAATGTCATAGAAAATCTAAAAGATGATGCTTTCTGGTTCAAAGTTATCAATAATCCGAACACACATGAATTTAAATCGATTGGGAACAATTACCAAATTATCATCACATGACACACATTTACCAGCAAATGCTATACTTCAAGAAAATGCTAGAAAAGATTCTGACTGATCCATATATAAAATATAAATATATAGAAGACGTAAAAGAAACATACGATATTGTTCCAATTAACAATGAAAGAGATATCATGATAAATAGATTAAACGAATTAAGACAAACATTCATAAAAATGCATAACGATTTTACAAAAGCCAACACTATAGAGAGCGCAAAAACGATTTATTACCACTGGGACACATATATTCAAAATCGATTTCGTGATGATACATTTTTCATGTACTGGACAAAAATATCATGATATTTGGCAATGCTGTTCGCACAATGGATCAATCACTATTACCCCCAGATTCAGGGCTGCCGCCAGGACTTCTAAAAGCAGTAGCGGGTAGAACCTATCAACGCGAAAATGATGATGAAAATGAACCGGCAAAACAATGACCAAAAATTAAAAAGTAACCCTTCTTTTTAGTTAAAAGTCAAATATATTTTTATTTATAATAAATAAACTTTACACAATAGATTTAAATTATGATATGAGTTAAAAAAGGATTTGAATATTATTGTTGTGAACTTAATTATCTATTGTAGTTTGGTTAAGAACGCAAAACTCTTCCTTAACAATGTTAAATCTTTCATGTTGATTCTCATTATAAAAAATAAAATTATTATAACTATCATCTTGAAGAAAGAAATCATAGTCATTAAATATCGACGGATCGATGACATTTCTGATTTCTTCTTCTTCAATTTCATTTTTTTGTATCATTGAATCAATGACATTTCTGATTTCTTCTTCTTCAATTTCATTTTTTTGTATCAATAAATCAATGACATTTCCAATTTCTTCTTCAATTTCATTTTTTTGTACCTCAACTTCTTCACTCTTGGGATAGTTGGCATTTATAAAATTTGTCCATTCGTCATTAAAATGCTGTGATGCCTTGAAGAAAATCTCGTCAAGGATTTCTTTTTCTTTTTTTAATTTTTCGATAATATCTTCAAGATTCTTTTTCTCTTCGATAGTATCATTATAAAGTTTTTTGTATTTTGTTTTCTTTTGTTTAGTATATGGCTCATTATCAGTATAATTAATAAAGAAAGATTTTTCTTTTGACATTTTTTTTTAAAATCAAAATTTAAGTTTTTGACAATATAAATACTTAATACAATTTTAAACTAATTTTAACTGGAACCAATCATCTACCATTCCGAATAGAATGAACTATTTCGGGGAAACCCCTATATTTTTCACATACTCCATGATGATCTTTTGTAACTTTTTCTGGAACTCATCAGTAACGTTGTCGGGATCGACGCTCTTTTTCGTTTTTCTTTTTTGAGGTTTCTTTTTCCCTTTCCAAGTATTTTTTGATTACTATTTTTAGGTTTATTATTTGATTTTTTAGCAGATGATTTTTGTTGCATATGATGATCCAGAATATACGTGTAGGCTTCGGCCAGCCTACAAAAATTCTCATGAGCTTGTGTGCTCCGATCCTTATTGGGATGAACCCTGATCGCAAGTTTTTTGTATGATCGCTTAATATCATCAATACTCGAAGTTCTTTTCACTTTTAGAATACGATAATAGGCTTGAATATTTATCTTTGACATGATTTTAAAAAAATAGATTACTGAAATATGAACAAACATCCTTTAAATACCATTTAAAAAAATTCTTAGTTGGTATTGGTGGCCTCTCGAACTTTGCATATAACCTGATTAGCAATAACATCCGATATGGCACCTATTGAACGATAAGAAGAAACATCTGAAACATAAGAAATCTCTATCGCACCACCGGAAAAAAATGCTGGCACGCCGGAATCGCCACTATTGTTATCTATAGTATGGCCAAACGAAATCGCATCTTTTCTTTCATCAGCCACACGCAATTGATACATCCAATCAAGATAATTGATCAAAATCAAAAAACGGTAATTGCCAGTATCATAAATAGGAGTATTGTTCTCATTGCTAGTCATACATATCTGCTTTTCGCCTTTCTTGAATAGTCGACACATCGTGATAACATGATCTTGTAATGTGCAAACAGTGTTGCAATCTAATGTTACATGATACTCCATCAAATTTTCGAGATTCCTCGAAAGCTCGTGATCCCTAATATTCTTAGGATCCAAAAGAACATCATCTATCTTGAGCTCCTTTTTCGCAGCCAAATGCGTATTACATAAGTGAACAAGATAAAGGTGCATCCTTAATGGACCAAGCAAAGCTTGCACCCGAAATTCTTTATGATCTACACATATGGGTAAACTATCAGCCGCTGCATTAGGCGAGTGAAATGTCACAAGCCTGAGTTGAATCGATACATCGCAAAGCTCAAGATACTCAAGCTGCTCAAGATTCTGCAAAAGAGTATATGAATAGAATCGCTGATCAAGAATCTTATGACCTTCCTTGGATGGAAAAAATGAAATTTGATCAACAGCCTCGCCGCGGAGACGTTGGGCGCGGCATACATTATAATCTTTCTCATCACTACAAGAACCTAGTCGACAATTTCTTTTTTTAAGAGGACAGGTATTGGTTGTTAATTTTCGCTTTCGAACTGGTTTTTTAAAAACATCAGTTTTATTTTCTTTGATAACAATTTGCTCATCTATTTAAATCAAAATATAATTGTATTTTCCAAAATAAACGTTATTTATATATGAATTTATATAGATTTTAGCATAAATAAAATATATAAATACAATTCTCTATTTTTATTTAGTTTAAAATAGCTTGCTCAATGACAAAAATACCTTCTAAAAAAAGATACATAAACCATTTTAGCAAAATGTCTTTTGCTAGCACTTTAAATATTGGGAAACGAAATACCAAGGGAGAATTAGAACACGATTATGATATTCAAGAATTTGAAAACCTACTATTTAAAATTAAAATCGAAACGATTCAGGGAAAACATAACATCGCAAGATTCTTTTTTTTAAACAAACTAAACGAAAAAATCAATATTCCCGAAGGTATCATCTGTATGGACGTCACATATACAAAAAAAGAACTACAATATCCGATGCCCGATACACAATATTATCTGATCGAACATCCAATGAAATACATAATCTATTACGACTCTGTAAAAAAAAGAAGGAATACAAAAACAAAAATCTACTCTATCAATTCTCAAAAAAAATACATCATTCATAATTTTAAGAAAACTAGCAAAACATTAGATAAAGAAAAAGATTAAATAACAAGATTAATTGTAACGATTATTTTTTTTTTCATATTCAGATTAATATAATTGATATAATTAAATATTTTATGATAAAATAAAATTTAAAATCACATATTTGTAAACTTAATTTGTAATTATATAAATACCTGCAATTATCATTTATCGTTCCATTTTCCTAAAGATAAATTACATAATTTATACGCGTTTATGTAAAATTTTGATAACCAAAATATTGATTGTTAAAAACTTCGTACTATTATTGTATTTGGAAAAATTACATAACATCGGAATTCGAAGATTCCAAATTCATTTGTTTAAATGAAACTAGCCCAATTCACGGTATTGCCAAAATTTACTTAAAATTTTTAAATTAAATACAAAATGCCTTTATTCTTTTTTACAGTCAAAAAATTTTTACATTCAAAATCATTAAGCCAACAAAAATATAACAAAATGTTCTTTCACTACTCCAAATCTTGCTGGATATTCATATTTAAATCTTTTTAAAGAAGAATTTCATCCTGAAATGGCTGAAATATGTAAAGAAGATCCAAGTGTGAAGCGAGTAGTTGAAATTGTAGTACAAAATCCCAACTATGATATGCTATATTCTAAAAAAATCAAACCAACAAGATTTGATGAAATGCAATTATTTAATATTGAAAGAGAAGATGAAAGTGAATGGGAAAACACAAGTGGACAAGAATGGTTTAATGTTAAAGAATTATTATTTTTTATTGGAAGAAATTTTCAAGAATATAAATTTATGTAATTTTGTATATAATTTACTCAAATAATTTAATAAAATCAAAAAAATTAAATTTCCTTCGATAAACTTTAATATTGAAAATATCTTTGCGAAGAATATAAATTTTCAAATAAATTCATTTTTTATCTTATTTAATTTAGAAGAATCTTTCTTTATATAGCTTATTGTGAATTGTGAATAAACTTGTAGATGGAATATCAAATCTCAATTTTTAGCCTTTTTGACCAAATATTCGTAGACATGGGACATGATGTGGTTGGCCAGAGCCGAACGTCTGAGTGCAAAAAAGTGAATCGAATTTAGATTCTTGCATTAAAAGATTCGGGAGAACACGATGTGATTGGCTAGAGCCAAAAAATTAAATTTTTATCGATTAAAGTAAATAATATTTTGAGTTAAAGTAAAACAATTTAATCTATCATTATCTCTGTTTAAATTAGAAACCTAACAAGCGATTGAAGCATCGAATTGAAAAATTTTAAACGATTCAGATCATGAAATTGAAACAATAAATGATAATTCTACATTCTTATACTTGATAATAAATATACATGTTCTTAAGATTTATTTTATTAAATATTTATTTTTATTGTTGAAAAAATCCTTTCCACACAAGGGATATTTAAAATTAATGGAGTCCGGAGCTTGACAATTATTACTGGTATTAATAAAAAAGTAAAAATTAGTGTAGATTTGATTTAATTTATGGATGATTATCGAGAAACTAAATCAAGTTGCTCTTGAGTCTCTACATCAATAATCGTTTTTTGAATACTATCATTAATTCTCGAATACAACTCAAGATGCTTATTACGATTAATACCCACAATCTCAGAACTATGATTTACAGAAAAGGTGTCCATCTTATCAAACCAAAAAATCGCTTCCCACTCTTTCGTTTCTTGATTTTTGATACATAGTTGAAAATCATTTAAATAATTTGATAAAATAAAACAAGAAATTCTATCAAATTCATGTGATTTATACATATCTCCGGCATGTATATCTTTAATTCTATATTTTTTTGGAATATTAATAATTTGTCCCTGCATACTTAAAAAAATTACCAAAACATTGGCGTCTCTCTTTTCAATTACAATATAGTTGTTCTCATTTACAAGTTTAAAAATACGACGTCCAGTTCGTTGACTCTTGCTCATTGAAAAAGTTCCATCTTTAAACATTTCCCTATTAAATTTATAAAATTTTGATAAATACGGATGATATAAATGTTTTTTCATTTTAGATTTGAAATTTACTGATTTTGCAATGTTTTTATATTTTTTTAAAAATAGAGAATTAAACAAAAGTAATACAGAATAATTGATTTTATTAAATAAGTTATTACATGCTCTTGAGTTTCAATGTCAATAATCTTTTTTGAATAATAAATTTAAATATAAAAATAATTATTCTTGCTTTATATGTAATTTTCCAATCTCATCATGAGTACTAGTTAACAATACAGATTCATTTTTTGGAAATCTATAAATAAAAATTTTTTCTGCAAAATTCATTTAATAAATTTTAACACCTTTATATTTAATTATATAAATATGATGAAAATGAATTAAAAAGTCATTTGTGTTTGGCCATGGCTCACATTCTTCGATTTGGCCAGTATAATCTTTGATAGTAATATTTTCAGGTATTTCAGTACCAGTATTGCTACTATCAAAATCTGTTAATTTTAAAAAGAAAAGTCTTGCAGCAATTTTATTTTTTCTTAGCACAATGGTTTTAATCTTGAACCCAAATTGATCAAAATTTTGTATCCTAAGAGTTCGCTTGTTAGATTTAATTTGGGGCATTTTTAGTTTAAATGAGAATAACCATACATATATTTATATATTTTTAAATTATTACTTATTTGTCTGATACTAATAATTAATATTTACTACTGGCTAACTGATTACTAAAAAATTCTATTTTAAAAATATTTATATAATTCGAATGTTTTACATTAACCATGGAAAAATTCATAATTTGGGCCAAAAAATCTACATTTTGGATTTTTCTTAAATTAGATTACAAAATTGAAATAGTAATGTCGAATTTTTTACGAATCAGGTAATGTTAAATTATCTACTTTGTCTTATTTTGTGACCAAAAGCATTTTACGAATTGGGTAATGTCGAATTACTCACTTTGGCTCATTTTGTGGCCAAAAGCATTTTACAAATTTGGTAATTGAAAAATATAAATACACATGTATGTCAATAAAAAATATTAACTTAATTTTTAACATGAAATGCAAAAATTCTATCAAGAACTTGTTAGTAGATAAATCTTTACGATTGCAAGATCTACAAGTTTTTTTTAAAAAATATATTTACAATGATCAATATGAGTTTTATATTAATGAACGTGGAATTGTTCATGTGAAAAATATCAATAATAACAATGTGGTTGATATTTTTTTAAAATATGTCTTGCGAAAATACCTTAAAGATAACGAAGCAACCGCTAATGAAAAGGAAAGAACTGGTCATTTTAATACATGTCCTTTTTGTGGAAAACTAAACTTTAATTATTATTGGGGTCGATATTTTTTTGCTTCTGATGATAATCAACCAAATCCATTTCTCGATCTAATCGATAAGAATCTTAATCGTTGTGGTATCTATAATCATTGGAATTCGAATCCTTTGCGTATTGGTGATAAGTTTCAATTAAAAATTATTGATATTCCTCATGTGCAAAAATTTTTTACTACATATAAAAATTGCAAAAATGTAAAATTGTATTGGTGTGTTCATGAAAATATTAGCGTGTATCATAAACATGGTCGTCTTTTAGATATTTATTCTGAAAAAGATCTTTTTTATTATGTGAATCATTTTTTAAAGCAAGATCATAAATTTAATCAATGCCCCGACTGTGATAGAATTAGTGTAAATAGGAAAAATGAATCAGAGTATATTAGGGTACAATGTCAATGTTTTAAAAGTATTAAGAAATGATTATTAACTATTATGAAATAATTATTATTTAATAAAAATTATATCGTTGAATTTTTACATGATAAACAACAATTAAAAAAAACTTTTATATGCAACTTTTGTATTCCAAAAACCACCCATTTTTGGGGGGGCACAAAATAAAAAAAGGGGTACACTTTTCAAAAAATATATATTTTTTGTACCCTAAAAAAAACCACCCACTAATTAAATCTCCTTAATTAAAAACCACCCACTAATTAAATCTCCTTAATTAAAAACCACCCACTAATTAAATTTAGGGCAAAAAATAAAAAAAGGGTCCATTTTTTATTAAGAAAAAACAAAAAGGACCCCATTTTGAGTGAAAAAAAACCACCCAAGTATCGGGAAATTATAGGTACTGCGCCGTTTTCTGGAATATTGTTTATCCGAGGACCCGTTTCGGCTTTTCTAAATACCCAAAATGACCGCGACGGACACCCACGTGCAAGCACGCGGTTATCCATCTGGTATTTTGGAGAGGATTGTGTAACATTGGAAAAGGGCCTTCGCCATGTTTAATTAGCGCTACGCTTCACCACGATAATAAAAACTTACACTTTAACCTCTCTATATGTGTATATATTTACAAGCAAAGATTCTAGTTTGACAAGGATCTTGATTCTTTTTAGTACTAGTTGCAGTCTTTTAAGATCAACAGTATTAAGGATAGAGTATACTATTTGCAAATTATATATAAAACTAATAACAATATTTTTTTCTTTTTAAAATTAAAGAAAATTTTATTAAGTAAACTAATTTTAAATTTCTAATAAAGGTTGTAGAGCAGATTTTTCTAATTCTAACAGTAGTAAAATTATTAAAATTGGTTAAACATTCATTGAGATACATGTCTTTAAATATTAAGTATTATAAATTGTTTATAAAAATCATATAATGATCATATGATATAAACCAATTAAAATCAATGATTTTGTATAACTACAGTGAATTTGGGCTAACTATGGAAAACTTTACAATATATACAAGTATATTTTTTTAAAATATTTAATATATGGAGTGAAATCAATAGAAATGAGACAAATTTATTTAATAAATTTGTCTTATTTTTATTGACTCCACCTTATATTAAAAATTTTACTATTATAAAGAATAGATATTAATCTGTATAATATAAAAATTTTATAAAAATTAATTAAACTAGTAAAAAGTTTTACTAGTAGCATATTTTTATTTTTTATAAAAATTATATTGTACTACAAAAATCATATAATAAATGATCTATATATACTCTACTCTTAAATGCTTTTTTGATATTAATGAAGATTATTCAGATTTTTTTGTTTTCTTGTTTTGTAGCTTTTATTAGCATATTTAAGATATAAATTGGCTCTTGTATATAATTTATCTTGTAGTTTTGCAAAGTTTGAACCTTTTAAAATTTTGTGTTAGATAATAATATCAGTAAGTCTATATTAAATAATTCTTACAAATCCTTTTTTTGTAGCTTTGAGTAACATAATAGGCCTAGCATTTTCATGCTGCAAGTTCCATTCTGCTAGTTTTGGGATAGAGAAAATTATCACAACTTTCTATTTCTTTGGCATAATTTCTTTATTTAGGATGTAGTTAAGAAGTTTAAAGAGGAGTTCTGTAGCTTTTTTGTCTAGTCTCTTCAAGATCATGTATCATATATTGAATAATCCCAGAGCTAATTTGTTTAAAGTTTTTTGGAGCATTTTTCTCTATTCATTTGTCTTAATTTTGTCAAGAATATTATTATACCAATCTTGCTAGATATATGTTTGTGATGTATATTTCTCTCTTCACACTTCTTCTTTATCTTCTGAAGTTTATATATTTTTCTTAAACTGTTTTGCAAAATACTTATTTATTTCTTGTTTAACTTTGTCTAGTTCGTGAATTAGCTTCTTTTTCATTGTTGAATGGTCTGTTGTAATGAGTATTCTTTTTAATAAAATCTTGTTCTATGGTCTTTCTAAAATACTATTAAGCTTTTTTTTTTCTTCTCTTCCTATTATACTGTATTTTCTTCAATATTCTCTCTTATTTTTTTTTTTTGTTCTGTTTTTTGTTCAGAGATCTTTTTTTTTTTATTATTTTTATTCATACTTTAAGGTTTCTAACCTATTTTCTGTTCAAACCTCTTTGACTTTTTGAATTTTTGTCTTGTTATTTAAGTTTACTTGTATTATCTAAATATTTAAGGCAGTTTGGTTTTCTGAGCTTATTTCGATACTTAGATTGCAATAGTCTATACAGCCTATTTTTCTTAGCTACTTAATTTACTTATATCTGAGGTTCTAAATAACTTGTTTTTGTTTTTTCTCAGTTGTGCTTTGAATTTTTTTTTACAGAATCATTTTTCTGGTAGCCTTACAACTAATTTTTTTCAGACATTATAAATCTAATTTTTTGTTGTTAAGGTCTGAGTTTTGTTTTTTCTTTTCAATTTCTTTTCGAGATATTCTTTAATATATTTCTCTAGAAGAGTAGAAAAGGTTTCCTAGTCTTTGTTTAAGGGTAGGATGAAGGATCTACATTTCTAATAGCAATTACGTTGCTAAATTTTTTTACAATAATATTCAATTGAAATCAGGTGATGATCATATGTTATTTATATTGTACTACCTAGGCAAATCCTTGTACTACCTAGGCAAATTAAATAGTAAAAACATATGAAAATCAATTTTTACTATATTTGTCAAGTGATTACTACTAAAAATGAAAATCGTTCACCCTACCCTTAACATTTTTTCATAGAGAAAGATTTTTCATTACCTAAAGTGCTTTCTTTTTTGTTAAGTAGCTAAGTTTAAATATAGTATGAGGCTTAGCAGGAACCTTGTCTATATAAGGTTATAATTATTTACTATGACCAAGTCTATATCTTTAATATTGCTATCTAGAACAAGCTCTCTTATTTCTGGATCTAGCTATATATAGTCTATTTTTGAAAAGAATTTGAAATTAGCCTACATTGCTTTGGAAAACTGTAGATTTATAATAGTATATGCTTTTGCAAAGCCTATTCTTTGTAGCTACCTTATGAGTAAAAGTTTACAGAGTTTGGGTCTATGAGAAGTTTTGCTTGCTTTGCTATCTAAAAATATATTTACTTCTGTTTTTATTTCTGTATTGAAGTTGTTTTTTATAACTATTCTTGTATTTGGTTTGCTCTTGGTAACATCTTTTGTTAGATATTGTTGAATCTTTTTTTTAACTTGTTTGTTATTTGATAAAAAGTATACATCTATATTACAAAAGTTGTTTTTTTGAATCTAAAGACTGTTTTTAAGGTATATGTATCTTTTGCTATTATTTTAGTAAGATGTATTTGTTATTCTTTTCTTACTAGTAGCCCTACTCTTAAGCTTTTTCTTTTTTCTATATTGTTTTTTATCTAGTAAGCTCTATAATATTGCCAACTTATTTCTAAAAAGTTTGCCTTTCTTGTATTAATATTTGTTTTTGTTATTTCTAAAATATCTAAGTTTTCTTTAATTCTAAAATCTATAAGCTCTTGCAATTTATTTTTATTTTTTTTTAACCTATTGATGTTGTAAAAATCTAACTTTACTTGTACAAAACTATTTTCTATTTTGTTTGTACAATTTGGGCTCTTTCATCGCAAGGTCTCACTTGACTCTTTTAACTGTAATTCAACTATGGCTACTTTTAGGAGTATTAAGCAATTTGCCACTCCAGCTCTATGAACTTTCTCACATCTTATTTACAAGTTCTCAAAGATGCTCTTCCTTGTTCATTTTGGTTTTTTGCTTTGTAGGTTTTTTTTCTCTCTGCCCAATTTTATTCTGTTTGAGCTAGTTGCATAAAGGTAGAAATAT